CCACCGAACTACCTACCCCCCGCAAGTCTATTTACCTATTTACTGCTTGAATGACTGCCGTCTAGCTGCCTATCTCCATGCGGCACTCGCCTTATGTAATTGCCCGCAAATATGTCCGCTTGAGGATCGGCCTACTTGCCTACTTGCCAGCCTCCCTTCCCCACATGCCTGCTGAGGTGTCATTTCCCTATCTAGGTGCGTGTTCATTTGTCGAATTATCTGTCCCCATTCCTATGTCTGCGCACCTATCTGTTTACCTGTCCGTTTTTCTTTATTGTTTACTTATCTGCTTCTCTACCTTTGAGGCTAATTATCTATCAATATACGCGTACGTTTGATTACGGCTTCCGTTGACTTCATTTTTTACTATTTTCTTCCATGTTCGTGTGCGTCACAGACTGTAGGCACGCACACCCGTAAGCATGGGTTTACATACATGCGAGGATACAGTAAGAGCAGTCACGCACAACAGAACTGCGCCGTGACAGAAGCTCCAAAACATATCATTAGAGGTTAACTCCACCGCCTCGCGAGACACGTCTCGACCCGAGTTTTGTTGCTGACTCTACACGCGCCCCTCCATCGGCAAGGGAGTAGAAAGGCAGATGATTAATGCGCCCTGCACTGCCGTTTTTAGCAGCGCGAAGGAGTGTTTTGCCATTCAGCTGTGCGTAAGCGAGGCCAGACCTCACAACAGGGTGACGCGACAGCTTCCGTCGGCCGGCCCACTTTCCAGGGATCTCTTGGAAGAACCTCCAACACGGAAGTCCCCGCGTGGAAATTCCCGTGAACCCTGCATACTCGGCTCCAACACATGCAGTTCCTCCCCGCGGGGCGCCGCTGCTGTCACCGCCGCTGCGCCATATCCGCCGTGTCACGCCGTCAGCTGCTCCTAGTCCTAACTAGTTCAGTGTTACTGCCACCATTACACGCGCTACTTCCTACCGGAGCGCTCTCTTTGCTCTTTATTACATGCTCATAAAAATAAGTATGAGGCAGAGAGAGCAAAAAATAAATATTTGCGCTTTCAAGAACAACCCGCCGGCCCGACTGGCCAGACCACTGCCCCACCCCACCCGCACGCCCACTTCCCGTTAGTATCCCTACTCCGCCACCGCCTTTACCTCTTTCCACCCAATACCCGCGTCCTCCCTCCCCCTCTTCACGCCCCCCTGCACGCCCCCTTCCCCGCCCCCTTCCCCCGTGGCCTAAAATCCGTCTTTTACACACACTCCACAGACCTTTTAACTAGAGCAAACAATTCAGCGTCAACGTCCACAAACTTCCCCGTTGCATACACTCCCAACGCGCTTATAAACCACTCCAAAGATACGACAGCATTAAAAGACAAGTATACGAGTAACCTCTCCCATACAGACGAAAGCTCTTAGGTAAGTCTTTAGTTTTACGATTATCGAACTCCCAAGAAAATGGCAACATGCTTACCTTACAAACAAACCTTTCCTTCTTGCTTCGTAAAGCGAGTCATAACATCCCCCAAATCCCAGCTAGCCCCGTAACCAAGACAGGGAGGTAGAACCACCTAGCAGAGAGACAGAACAACCTAGCAGAGAGGGGAAGGGGGTGGCAGCAACCAAAGCAGAGAGACAGAACAACCTAGCAGAGAGGGGAAGGGGGTGGCAGCAACCAAAGCAGAGAGACAGAACAACCAAGCAGAGAGGGGAAGGGGGTGGCAGCAACCAAAGCAGGGAGACAGAGCAACCAAATCGGGGAGGCAGAGCAGCCACCCAACCTGCCCATCACAGTACAGCAGACCCCTCTCAAGGTTCACGAGTATGTCATAGCTCGTAAAAAATATCCCGGCGACCTTGCCGCCTGCGAACAAATGTAGTGTGCAGACCAAGCCTCCGTCCACTACCAACACTACCAAGAGCGTAAGTCAGCCTCGAAAACAAAAACAGGCGAGTTTCTTGTTAATTATGTAACTTCCTTGAAGAGGTTGGGCCGCTGTGAATGTACGCTGTGAAGTTTTTTTAGGCGCATGTATGCAGGTTACCCGTGGGTATTGGCGTTTTGGGATTTGTCTTGAGAGAGAGAGAGAGAGAGAGAGAGAGAGAGAGAGAGAGAGAGAGAGAGAGAGAGAGAGAGAGAGAGAGAGAGAGAGAGAGAGAGAGAGAGAGAAGAGAAGAGAGAAGAGAGAAGAGAGAGAGAGAGAGAGAGAGAGAGAGAGAGAGAGAGAGAGAGAGAGAGAGAGAGAGAGAGAGAGAGAGAGAGAGAGAGAGAGAGAGAGAGAGAGAGAGAGAGAGAGAGAGAGAGAGAGAGAGAGAGAGAGAGAGAGAGAGAGAAGAAGAGAGAGAGAGAGAGAGAGAGAGAGAGGGAGGGAGAGAGAGAGAGAGGAGAGGTGAGAGAGAGAGAGAGAGAGAGAGGGAGGAGAGAGAGAGAGGGAGGAGAGAGAGAGGAGAGAGAGAGAGAGAGAGAGAGAGAGAGAGAGAGAGAGAGAGAGAGAGAGAGAGAGAGAGAGAGAGAGAGAGAGAGAGAGAGCACATACCACAACAACAACGGCAACGCCCGTCCCCCCAGACCGCGGTCCTCTCCCGACAACCTATTTTCCCTTCTCGACCTCCCTAGCGGCGCCCACACGAACAAGTTTAAAGAGACGCGAAAATCAACCTGCCGCCCAGCCAGGCAAGCCGCATGAAAATCAGACACAGCCAACCCAGGGCAAGTCATGTCGGTCCAAACCTATCCGGGCCAAAGTAGGTTTTTAAAGTTTTTTTTTTTATCTAACAAACTAAACGAAGCGAAAGGCCCTCCCAGGCAAGCCAAGCCAAGTCAGGACAAGCCAGTCCGGCCTTTAATGACCCAAGAAGCCACAGACAAGCCAGACAAGCCAAGCCACATAAGACCGAACACCAGCCCTATGGAAGAAAGCCGCGATCGGCACCTGGGCAAAAGAAGGTCGCAATGTCCGCACGCGGCATTCTGCGGCAGGTGCGGTCGTCCCGATAAGCCGTATGCAAATGAGGCAGCAATGGCTAAAAAAGGGGGTCTTGCGGCAACTCGGCACACGGCGGCTGCAGCTCCTTGCGTCCCACGCCGGTGACAGCAACAATAAATATATGAACATAGTTTTCCTAGTTACTGTTACGAAATAAATTCATAGTTCTTCAGTTACGGTTAAAAAAATAAATGAATATCTTCCAGTTACAAACTAAATAAAAAGCTTTCCAATTACAAAACAAATCAATATAATTGTCTAGTTGTATTTACTAAATACACGAATAAGAACATAATATCATCCCCAGCAGACTCATTTGCATGTGTCCAAACTTCATGATTTTTTATCCAAACAAACAAACAAACAAAGCGCAAAGCCTTCGACAACGTGACCTCCACCTCTGTTTATAAACTCGCCTTCCTAGCCTGGTGTGCGCGAGTGAGTGAGTGAGTGAGTGAGTGAGTGAGTGAGTGAGTGAGTGAGCGAGTGAGTGAGTGAGTGAGTGAGTGAGTGAGTGAGTGAGTGAGTGAGCGAGTGAGTGAGCACCTGAGTATGTGCATACAGGTGCGTGTGCATGCATTGTAAACTTATACATGTTGGTTCGTGTATGTGTAAATCCGTATGTAAACGCATGCGACCGTTTGTTTGTATATGTTTGTTTACATCCACTCGTTCCTCGTTTATGCACCTCCCCGATCGCGACTCACAGCCAGGTATCAAAAGCACCAACTCGACATTTCCTAATAAAGGTGTCCGAGAGAAAAAATGAGGAGAAAGAAAGGAATTCCAAGAAAGAAGCAAACCGAAGAAAACTGTAAACCTGTAAACCAAACCACACACCGGAAGAAGAGAGGAGAGAGAGAGGAGAAGGAGAGGAGAGGAGAGGAGAGGAGAGGAGAGGAGAGAAGAGAAGAGAAGAGAAGAGAAGAGAAGAGAAGAGAAAGAGAAGAGAAGAGAAGAGAAGAGAAGAGAAGAGAAGAGAAGAGAAGAGAAGAGGAGAGGAGAGGAGAGGAGAGGAGAGGAGAGGAGAGGAGAGAAGAGAAGAGGAGAGGAGAGGAGAGGAGAGGAGAGGAGAGAAGAGGAGAGGAGAGGAGAGGAGAGGAGAGGGAGAGGGAGAGGGAGAGGGAGAGGGAGAGGGTGAGGGTGAGGGTGAGGGTGATGATGATGAAAAGAAAAAAATGAAAAAATGAAAAAAAAGAAAAAAGAAAAAAAGAGAAAAGGAAAAAAGAAACAGAGAAAAAGAGAAAAAGAATGAAATAAAGAAAAAAACAAGAGATAAAAGAAAAGAAAGAAAAAAACAGAAGAAGCCGGAAAAAGGAACAAACGAGGCACGGGACCAGAGGACAACCAATAGACCGTACCGTTAGACTATGGATAACGGCTGACACGATAACTGACCGCCTCGGGGCACGTAAGTACAAATATGCCCATCTAACACGAGCGACGCCACGGCTTCCTTCGCAGAGTCTGTGGCCAAAAATAATAACGAATCGCCCTTTGCTGATTCTAGGCACGAAGTGATATTGGTAGTGGTGTTAAGAAGAGGACCAAGAACAACAAGAACAAGAACAAGAACAAGAACAAGAACAAGAAGAACAACAATAACAATGCGCAGGCCCGTAAGGAGATCCCAGAATGGGAACGAGAGTGATAAAATCAGAACGAGAATAACGGTAGAGGGCGGGAGAGTAAGGGAAGTTAAGGATGAACGAGTGCGCGCGAATGCACTAGGCCTACCTAGCCTTACGGAGTTGAATGAAGCCTACTTCAAGTGCTACAGACTTCGATTTAGTGATGTAGGAGAAGACAAACGCAAATTTGGGCATGGCGATGGAGCAGATTAGTCCTATGCCTATGGGTGTGGGCGTGGTCCAGGTGAGGCAGGAGGAGGAGGAGGAAGAGGAAATGCAAAGAACTTTCCGGAAACGTCAGAAACAAGTCAGCCAAAACCTCGCGTGACTTTCTTTCCAAAGACACGTTTTCCCTTCGGAAAGGGCGAGCGAGCAGAGCGCTCGCCCGGCCGCCCCTCGCGAGACCTCACCTGCATAGCTCGGAGACTGCGGCGCCCCTCCGTCCAGGAGCGACACGGTCGAACACGCCGACGAAGGATATGAGCTGGAGCCGCGGCTTTGCGGCGTGTGGGCAGGATGCGGGTGGTTGCGGGCGGCCGCAGGTACTGACCAATGTCTCGTCCGAGTGGGAACGTCCCGCGGGACGCTCCGCAATATTCGAATATCTAGATCGCGGTGGCCCGCGAACGAGTGCATCACTGTGGAGGAAATGTGTATGGTCGGGTGCGAGGGCTGCGGCTCGCTCAGCGACCGCACCAGCTGGCTGCGCCCGTCGCCGCCCGCGCCGCCCGCGCCGCCGGGCTCGTCCTCCGACGACGAGGAGCACGACGACGACGACGACGAGATGACGGAGGACATGGCGGACGACGACGCGGGCGAGGGCGGGGGCGTGGGGAACACATGCCCGGCGACGCAGTGTCCGCACCCGCAGGCGCGCGAGCTCTCGCAGCCTCGGGGGCCCTGGTCGTCCCCGGCGGCGTCGTAGTTGTAGCACATGGGCATGTAGGGCTTGAGCGTCACGATGGAGCCCGAGGCGTCGGCCGCCTCGGGGTCCGCGCCCCGCTCGCCCTCGCCGGAGCAGGGGGGCGGCGAGCCCGGCGCGGGCTTGCGGTCCTTCTTGCGTCGCTTGCGGGGCTTGATGATCCGAGGTAGTGACGTGTCGGCGTGGCCTGTGCTGCCTTCGTCGGAAGTGACAGACACGGCGTCGCTGCCGACGGGGGGCGAGGCGTCGCCGTGCGCCAGCTCCCTCGCAGGGCGCGCCCCGAGGCCGGAGCAGGGCGGCGAGGAGCGGGGGGAGCTCCTGGATGGCAGGATGAGGGGGGCGCCCTGGGTATGAAGGGCTAGGCGGGCCAGCGGCAACCTCTCCAGCTCGTCGCCGTCCTCGGAGGAGAAGAGGCAGTCGCCCGCGTCGCTTCCTCCTGAGGGCTCCTGCGGCCCCAAGTAGTGGTGGACGTGGTGCTGCTGCTGGTGGCCGGCCTGATGGTGCGACGGCGAGCGCTGCTGCCGCCCATGGTGCTGCACGCGGCCGGGGTTCCACAAGGAGCCGCGCCGCTGCGGCAGGAACGAGAACAGCGGCATCCCCGCCAGGGCTGACCCGCCCTCCATCACGTAGCTAGAGTCCATGTGAGCAGAAGGGTGGGCGCCGTGCGAGCTGCTGTGATTGCCGCCCCCGCCCCCGCTGCCACTCTGCTGTTGCTGCTGCTGTTGCTGCGGCTGGTGGTGATGCTGGTTTTCCTGGTTGGGGCCACGGGTCCTGAGATGGGCCTGGCCGCGCCCCCGGGGCTTGGAGACAAAGAGGCAGGAGCCACGGTACCTGTCGACGTCGTGCATCCTGGGAGGCAGCGATTCCTGAGATCCTTCAATATCACAGTCGGTGACACAGGCGGGCGCGAACTCCGCGCTTAAGCTCTGCTCTGTTTATCTACAGAAATATAGGTGCACATGCACGGTTACGCTCAACGAGGCACTGATACCTTAGCTACAATTCATACACTTGTAACACATCTCCATTATACTGTACACTAAAAAAAAATAAGGACTTCAAAGGCGGATTCTGTAGAAACGAAACCCAAAATATTTTTTTTCCTTTTTCTTCTAAGATAAAAAGGCCAAAACAAAATCATTTCCTCTTGCCGAACGGCATGAACCTTCCACCACGACAGAATGGCACAAAACAGTCGTCGCTGGTCGCATTCCACCTGTGTTCCATCCGACGCCGCGGAGTCACGTGGCCACAATCATGCTGGTCGGGAGCGGCAGCGTCCAACCTACACACGCGCCAAAGGTACACTGACGATCCGCCGTGGCCGCGCTCACTTCCTCTTTCACAACCTACTAAACTCGGCCACCCGGGGCTGCCACACACCTCCACATACGTCATGCATTCGACTTCACGTCCATCCGTCGCGCTTCCACACACCATACATACACACACGTGCATATACCATACGCACACACCACTCCCTCTGTGCTACTTCCAGCTCCCCGAGAAGCCCTCGGCACGAGATCGCCCTCCACTTCGAGGGGGAACTCCGAGCTGTCACTCCAGGCCTCATTCCACCGCCGACACCATTCGTCTCTCCACCAGGACGGACCAAGACGTACCAAACCCCTTCAGAGCTCTCTCCCGCAACCGCATAATTCACTTCACACGTCTATCGACCGTCCCCTCTCGCCGTCAACGCGCCGCTCGGTTATCATAACACTTAAACGGAGCCGACTTTCCCTCCCCGCCGCGCCATAACCGACACCGCCATAAACGGAAAACGGAAAACGCCCGACGTCGCAACCGCCGTAACCAATGGCCACGTAATTAACTATTGCAACACTATAACAAGGTCCGCTCTAAATATACGAGGAGGTTGACTATCAATTCCACATCGACGGATGTAAATAAGGCACCGCGGGTAACAAGTCTACGGGGGGAGACTGCCGCACTTCGCGGTCATCCGCTTTTGTGTTTGGTGGGGGAGGATGACGGAGGGAAAATGACAATAACGATGGCGAAGACAGAGATC